ATGTTTCAGTGATATAACTGATCCCATTCAAACTTTTGCTGACGTTTTAAATGAAATAGCTGATGAGTGTATACCTAAGTCCTCTACGACTCCACATGTACGAAAACCATGGTTTAATACAGATTGTAGACAAGCCAGAAAAGGGGGGGGGGGGAGGTAGAGCATTATTTCCGCCATCATCCAACTGTCCTTAACTTAAATAAGTTTAAAATACTCAATGCAAAGGCGCGTCGTACCTTTAGAAACACAAACGACAATTTTGGAGAAAATATGTCTCCAAAATTAATTCACGCACGCCAATTTCTAAGGTATGGAACATGGTTCAAAGAATTAAAGGCAAAGGTTCAACATCTGCTGTTCACCATCTTAAAGATGGTGATAATGTAATTACTGACAAGTCTAAAATTGCAAATAAAATTGGCGAAACTCTTGCCAAAAATGATAATGAAGTGTTTTTATTACATGAGCTACATACTGCTCTTGAGCAAGCTCATGACACTGCAGCGGGTGATGATAATATACATTACCAGCTACTGAAACACTTACCTGAACCATGTCTGATGACACTTTTGGATATATTTGACCAAATATGGACGTCTGGAGAATTTCCCCCTTCATGGCGTAATGCTATTGTAGTCCCAATACCAAAACCTGGCAGGGATCATACACATCCGTCGAATTACAGACCGATATTTCTAACTAGCTGTGTCTGTAAAACCATGGAATGTATGGTGAATAATAGATTAACTTGGTATCTTGAAACCAATAACCTTATAACAAATATTCAATGTGGTTTCAGGAAAAATCGTAGTACCATTGATCATTTGGTACGTTTTGAATCTTTTGTTAAAATGCTATAGTAAATAAACAACATGCTGTATCAATTTTCTTTGATCTTGAGAAAGCTTATGATACGACCTGGAAGCATGGCATTTTGAAGGATTTACATGATTTTGGTTTGAGAGGCCGTTTGCCTCTTTTTATATCACAGTTTTTAAGAAACAGGCAGTTTCAAGTCCGAGTGGGTTAAACCCTGTCTGATCATAACAATCAGGATCAGGGTGTCCCTCAAGGCAATATTTTGTCTGTCACTTTATTTAGTATCAAGATCAACAGTTTATCCAAGGTTTTAAACGATTCAATCGATGGACCACTTTTTGTAGATGATTTAAATATTTCTTGTCGTGGTAAAAATATGCATACTATTGAATGGCAATTGCAGTTGTGTTTAAATAAAATAAATAAATGGTGTCTTGAAAACGGCTTTAAACTTTCCAAGTCCAAAACTAATTGTCTACACTTTTGTAGAAAATATGAGCCGCATAAAGACCCAGAAATATCTTTAAATGGCACTCCCATCAAAGTTGTCAAGGAGGCCAAGTTCTTGGGTCTAATTTTCGACTCCCATTTAACTTTTTTGCCGCATATCAAATCCCTTAAAGCTAAATGCCTGAAGGCCCTTGATTTGTTGAAAGTTGTTTCCAACTCAAAGTGGGGAGGGGATCAAGCTACCGATCATTGGTCCGCTCGAAACTTGATTATGGCTCCATCGTATATGGTGGGGCCTGCAAAAGCAACCTACAATTACTTGATTCTGTCCATCACCAAGGCCTAAGACTTCGTCTTGGGTCCTTTAGAACCTCTCCTATTGATAGTCTCTATGTCGAGGCAGATGAGCCTTCTCTTACACACCGCCGTATAAAATTATCCTTACAGTATATAACAAAACTCTATTCTAACGAGTCTAATCCTGCATTTAACTGTGTTTTCAATCCCCTCTATGAGGATTTGTACAACAAAAACTCTGCTCTTGTTCCGCCTCTAGGGCACAGAATTAAACCATTCATTTCTGCTGCCGGCATTGAGCTGGAAAATATAGCTCCTTCCCGTCTTCTTTCTTCTCCTACTAGGCAACTGGTGAGACCTGAAGTTGACCTAACTCTGACAAAGTCTGAGAAGTCTGAAACTAATGAATTACAATATAAACAAGAATATAATCAATTAAAAACTAAATATAATACATACAAATCCTTATTAACAGATGGGTCCCAGGATGGTTGCGCAGTGGCATGTGCCACTGTTATTGGATCCAGAACAATATCTTATCGACTACCAAATAACAGCTTTGTTTTCACAGCAGAAGCTAAGGCCATATTAACAGCTCTTAACATATTAATAAACATCGTAAATATAAACAATACATAATCTTTTCCGATTCTCTTTCGTGTCTTCAGGCTATTAAAAATCTTTCTTGTAAACATCCACTTTTAATTGAAATTATTGAATTGTATAATGATCTTGCTACTGGCCAATGCGACATCGTTATTTGTTGGTTTCCCAGCCATGTTGGCATTTCTGGGAACACAATGGCTGATCTTGTTGCTAAGGCAGCACTCAACAGATCTGTGACACCATTTCTAATTCCATACTCCGATTTCAAAGCTAGCATGAGAACTTATATCCGTGATCTGATGCAGAAGAAGTGGGACACTCAAGTAGGTATAAATAAATTACATGAAATAAAACCTTATATTGGTTACACCTACTTGGGTTGTCAGTCCAGATTTGAGGAGGTCATCATGCGACGATGTCGCATTGGCCATACGCGTTATACTCACAAATACTTGTTAAAAGGTGAAGATCCTCCGTTTTGTATCCCTTGTGATGAGAGAGCCACCGTCAAGCATATCCTGCTTGACTGTGTTGAATTCTCCATCATAAGGGATAAATATTTCAATGTGAAAACAGGTAAGGATCTTTTTAACACTGTTAATTTTCATTTAATTATTGTTTGTTTAAAAGAAATTGATTTAATAGATGAATTTTGAATAATATGTTCTGTAGATAGATGTATTTTAATGATTGGTAGTTTAGATTAGGAACTTAGATTGTTAGTGGCTGTACCTTCAAAGGGGGTTAAAGTACTGTAAACTTATTGTCCTCCTGAGAGGGTACGTAAATCCCGCAACATTCAAAGTCAATTTAAACTCTCCACTTTTTTAATCGTAGCATATGTGTATTTTTACTGTATGGCTAGTTCAATATAAATTGTAAGTCCCCATGGTCCCTAGTATGGTGATCTACCTTCAGTTGTTGGCAATTTATAGCCTGTTTTTATATTGTATTGTCGTGTATAGTTAAGTGTTTTAGATTTGGTTACTGGTTTTAAATTTCCACCTGTGATAACCTGGTTGTTTAACTGTCCTTCGTTGACAGGTTTTTATAATTTATCTTTAATATATATTAATCTATAACTTGATTTAGTCACGATATGGCTGAAATATTGCCAAAGTGTCTTTAAATGTTAACTCACTCACTCACCATCACGAAACTTTTAACACCTTAAAATTGACTTCATTATATTCATGTGCATTCAATAAAGAAAACATTTCAGCTAGTCAGTCGGGAGTAGTGACACCAGTCATTACATCAGGTTGATACGTGTCAAGTTCCAGACCCAACAATAAATTAGCTATAGATTTGATGGCTTCTTTCACCTAAAGGCACAGTTCCAAATAGCTACTGGCCCGATTTTATAATCAGCAAGCATTTGACTAGCGGGCCAGTAGCTATTTGGAACGCTGCCTTTAGATGAATGAAGCCATCATATCTAACTTATTGTTGTGTCTGGAACTTGACACGTGTCAACCTGATGTTATGACTGGTGTGACACGTGTCAACCTGATGTTATGACTGGTGTGACACGTGTCAACCTGATGTTATGACTGGTGTCACACCTGCCACGAGTTTACATTCGTTGTGGAAACACAAATGCTCAAGTTGCAAAACTTATTGTACGCCCCTCGTGAGATTGGTCCCCAGGCTGGGGAAGCGTGCGTAAGCGTCAGCCAGAGGGAAAATAATGAATAAAATGTCCGGGTGAACTGTCATACGTCACTGTATCTGACAAACAGCAGTTAGCTGAGCAAGAACCACGTTTCATTCTCCCTGCTTGGGCTATCTTCTGCCAGTAAATGCAGACGTCCGCCCTTGACCCAGACACCTACTCCCACCCAGTTGTATTTTAAACGCACGTAAACATGTTAACAGCACCCGAACCCAAAGCACAGCTAGAATGGAATGCTCCAATTTTGAAGCTGTTGGCATTGTGTTTTCAGGTCCAACAGATAGTGGTGTTTTCACGATAGCTTATGATCGCATTGACCTGACATTGTGTTCTTCCTCAAGCGAGACCGCCACGACGCTGAGATGAAATATTCAAGCATTTGAAGTACCGTTTAATTGTATGAACTCATACACATGAACATAAAACATTGAGTATACAGCTGAGGTATTATATTTCATAATGTTATTATCGTTATAATTGTAATACTTCATGTAGGGAATTTATTTCTCAGCAGCACAAGAATTTTATAAATAGGTTATACGGTCACCATTCCATATACCATTAGCTGGTATTGCTACACATATCGCCTCATATGTAGAGAACCAAAAACATGGAGTGTTCGGGCGTAATGTATGCTTAAAAGGATAGGTTACAATGCTCGGGATAAGGCAAAACTATTCCACTCGGGACATAAACTTCGTATGAAAGAGGAATTCGTTTTAATATCCAATATTGAAAAGGCAAATCCTGAAATCTTAAAATGTTACTGAGATGTCACGAAATGTTTTGATATCATTAAATCAAATATCACCATTCTGTACACAATCAGGTTAGAACATAGTTCAAGGTATCTTAGATTCACTTCAAGACATCTTAAAGTCACTTCAAGACATCCTGAAATAACATTACAAACACCATTATTTCGTTCTCTATGATTTTGCATATGTGCTACATCACCTGACCGAAGCTCAGGTCAATCCAAGTTCAGTGCATACAAACAGTTGGTTGTGTCCATTTTACGAAGAGTGACAAAACTAACACATGATTATATTTCGAGGGTCGATCTTTGCGCACTAAAAACAAATCATGTAGTCAACAATTTTCTTACATGACCATGCGAACTTCAAAAGACAACAAATGACAAAAACTTATCTAAATTTTAAACAATTTAATTTAGCTAAAAAGAGAAAAAAGAAACACCAAATACCATGAAATACTGACAAAAGACAACATGGACGGCATACGCCACGTCATTGTCAGCTACAACATTTCCTCTGTCATTGTCCAAATCAAACTACAGTGATTTACTGTCCACCACGTGATACCAAGAGATCCACTACTTGCGGATGTCCCCAGAATCTCGCTAGTTCGAGTGCCGTATGACCGTAGTCGCTCCGGGCGTTGATATCCGCCACGTGGAGAGAGAGGACCAGCTTTACTGTCTCCAGGTCGCCTGCCAAACAGGCCCAGTGAAGGATGTTGGAATGAGAATCGTCCACCAGAGACACGTCAGCTCCCTCCGTCACAAGGAGCTCCACTATATCTCTGTGTTTCCACCGTGCTGCCACAATCACGGGTGTCACGCTGTTCTGTCCTCTACTGTTGATGCCCACCACGTTCAGTGACAGGACTAGCTTAACCATCTCCATGTCGCCTCCCCGACAGGCGTAGTGAAGGATGTTGTCATTGACATTGTCCACCAGTGACACATTGGCTCCTTTCGTCACAAGGAGCTCCACAAGTTTTCTGGGTCCATACCGTGCTGCCACCATGACTGGTGTCCTGCTCCTCCATCCTCTTCTGTTGATGTCCACAATGTTCAGAGACAGCACCAACTTCACCGTCTCCAAGTCGCCTCCCACACAGGCCCAGTGAAGGGTGTTCTCACCGATATCGTCCACCTGTGTCACATCAGCTCCTTCCTTCACAAGGAGCTCCACTACATCTCTGTGTCCATGTTTTGCTGCATCTATCACTGGTGTCCTCCTCCTCCATCCGGGACTGTTGATGTCCACAACATTCAGAGACAGGACCAACTTCACCGTCTCCACGTCTCCTCCCTCACAGGCCCAAATCAGGATGTTGTCACCGACAAAGTCTACATATGCCGCATTGGCCCCGCTCCTCAAAAGCAGATCCACTACTTCCCTGTGTCCGTACTGTGCGGCTACCATCAAAGGTGTCCCGGTCTTATATCCTTTACTGTTGATGCCCACCACGTCCAGAGACAGGACCAACTTCACCGTCTCGATATCTCCTCCCCGACAGGCGTAGTGAAGGATGTTGTTACGGTGTTCGTCTACAAGTGTCACATTAGCTTCTTCTCTCACAAGGAGCTCCACTACATCGCGGTGTCCATTCCATGCTGCCGCCATCACCGGTGTCCTCCCGTCCACTCTACAGTTGACGTTGGCAAGACCCACAGACAGAATGCGTCTCACAGCCTCCAGGTCACCGTCCCTGCTAGCGTTGTAGAGGTCGTGGTCTGCATGTGATCGAGTCGCTGTAACAATAGTAAACTATGTAACATGGACACCTTTGTACACATGGACATCGGTAACATGTCACATGTGACTCGAACACTGATGCTTAATTTGAATGATTGCAATATTGCTACAAAGAACACAACATGGCCACATGTGGTTCAAGTAATTAAACACTGTATTTCATTTTTCAAATTTGTCGGCATCTAGTAACAATATATTTTGAGTATGGCTGGACTGTGTTAAAGTTGGTTTATAATTTTTATGATGATGATATGGGTACAACTATTGTCAGGAGTTACCTAAACGATGTGATGATATTACGTTTGTTTACGTCAGCCTGTTTTGATTGATGTTAAACGCCACACTCAGCTGTATCCTTGCTGTCTGTGAGTCGATGAGTGAGTTTAGCTTTTCGCCACTTTTAGCAATATTTCGTCTGGCAACACCAGAAATAGGCTTCAAACGTTGTACCCATCGAACCCAGCGTGGCGAGCGAACGCTTCAACCACTCGGCTGCCCCACCGCCCTGTTAATTATAGGAAGGTTTAGGATTGAGTGTTCTGCCTGCGGGGTTCTCCTACCTACCGTTCAGATCAGACTCTTCTGTCGTCCCAGGGACCGGCGGAACCATCTCGCTCGGGCTCTGATCCTGACTCGGGTCAATCGAGGCTAAAACAGATACTACATAGTACAGAAAACTAAGTAAAGCATGTAAGCATATACACGAAGCAGTTTTCGCCTTTCTACAAATGCGTTGCTAATTAAATCTATTCAAGGATGAATTGGATTTTAAATACATCTGTTATGGTAGAGGTAAGACAAATAAACGGTTAAATTAGATTCAAACTCTAGAAGGAAAAAAAACCAATGTTTTGTGGCAGTGCCACATATTGAGCTTAAAAGTGATCGCTGGCTCGCTGACTTGGTTGACACATGTCATTGTATCCCAATTGGGCATATGTCCATGTGTGTGTGTGAGAGAGGGAGAGAGTTTAGTTTTACGCCGCTTTTAGCAATATTCCAGCAATATCACGGCGGGGGGACACCAGAAATGGGCTTCACACATTGTACCCATGTGGGGAATCGAACCCGGGTCTTCGGCGTGACGAGCGCACGCTTTAACCACTAGGCTACCCCACCGCCCCTGTCCATGATGTTGATCACCGGATTGTCTGTTCCAGATTTCATGACTTACCGACCGCCGCCTTACAGCTGGAATATTGCTGAGCGCGGCGTTAACCAACAGTCAAACAAACAAATATTATATTTGTACCGTGACTGTAATACCTTTGAAGTGGTTTGTATATTTGGGTAAATTTAGTTAATAATAGAATTTAATTGATAGATATATTACAGTTCGTTTTAATGTTGTTATTTCTTTGTATTTCAGACCCAATTCTTGTGTGTTGATTCAAAATGGGAAATAAAACGTAACAAGAATAATTTGATCTTTCATAAAAACGAATAAGTTATAGATCTTAGTCAACTGAAGAGAAATTGCTTTCTAATCACAGTCAGTTTCCTTGGGAACCGCTGTTAACATATGTTGTAGTGATTTCCTAATGTATATACATCTCCCTACTGGGTTTCTGCCAAATGCACTTTTCTTCATATGCAACAAGAGAGATTTGTAATCTGGAGATCAGCCAAAGACAACAGTCTGCACTGTAGTCCACGATAGGGCCTGATAGCAAGGCGGGGACCATCTCGCTATTCTGTCTGGGCTTTTCCAATGCTCACTTTTGACTTCTTGTTTTCATTCTTCAACTATTTAATGTCCTGTTTACATTTATCCTCTTGCTCTCTGATTATTCATTAAAGCTAAAGTGGGCAATATTGTAGCCTTAGAGAAGCTATTGACAGATCTGTAACTTACGTGTATGTGATTTCCATATAATTAAAGGATGAAAATGTAAGTACACCGTGGGACGTATGAATAATATTATTGATGGGTCTGTGCCCTTTTGTAATAATAAAAACGGAGATCGTTTCACTTTGTCAAGCCATGGTTTTTCTGGAGGGGCACTCAATGTACGTGATCTGGGCAACCAGTGATCACACGTTCGGTTTTGTGGAAAGGATCCCAGCTGAGAGGGTTAGGTAGCTGACTTCCGAATGGGACTCAACCCAGAAACGTACTAGAATCTGTACTTTACTAACACATGTAATCCTAAATATGTGTTTGTCAGTCTGCTTCATGACACAAGTTCTTTTCATGCCCAAGAGCAGCTTGATCGACACATCTAACGTGAACTAATTAATGAAAACTGATCATACGGATCATATGAGATTCTGATAACTATTGCTAATTAAGCCTTACTGTTTTATTCGTTTGAACTGATATATTGGATATTTTGACACAGTATAGTTATTTTCACTGGATTTTATTTTATCAGTTGGATGCATATCTCCAAATCAACCATAAATGCAGTAAGATAACCCCAATTTGAATTAAGCATTGATGTTTATTTCACGAATTGTTTGCTTGCAATAAAATTAAATATCCTTGAGACTGAAAAAAAGTGTAAGCGCTTCAGTGACATTCAGAGGCATTTTACAATAGCATTGAGAGGCGGTGTTAACATATCCAGTACTTGCTGATTCTCTAATGCACCCAAGGGAACCAATGGATGTACACTAAGTTTGTTTTCAAACTCATAACACCATGCTGTCTTTCTTACAAACGGGGCGGTGGGGTAGCCTAGTGGTTAAAGCGTTGGCTCATCACGCCGAAATCCCGGGTTCGAATCCCCACATGGGTACAATGTGTGAAGCCCATTTCTGGTGTCCCCCGCCGTGATGTTGCTGGAATATTGCTAAAAGCGGCTTAAAACCAAACTCAGTCAGTCAGTCAGTCTGTCAGTCAGTCAGCCTCCTTACAAACAAATTGTACACACTCTTGGAGTTATGACTACTTGTTTTCTTATGTCTAGGCCCAACAATACCGTCAGATCAAACAGTCGCATCGGGGATTATCATAGGTGGTGGTCCTTCTAAGCACGTCGACTTTACACATTCGTAGTACTCACTAATTAACGTCAATTTGGGTAGGCGTCTCTACTTTCTGATTGAGGGATGGCAAGACATAGTACATCTGGACTGAAGTCCAGCCCAACACTGTAATCCTTTGTCAGTACACCCTGTGTTCACATACTGAGTACACTCTATGTGGTCATGGCCAGTACACCATGTGCTGACATATCCAGAACACCCGATCATGTCATGGGCAGTACACCCTATCATGTCATGGGCAGTACACCCTTTTATGTAATGGGCAGTACACCCTACCATGTCATGGGCAGTACACCCTTTGTTGTAATGGGCAGTACACCCTACCATATCATGGGCAGTACACCCTTTGTTGTAATGTTAAGTACACTGTGTGCTTACATATGCCGTACACCCTATGTTGCCAAGGCCAGTATACCCTATAATATGTCGACGTATTCGGTAAACCAGATGTTGACATGCCCAATACACACTACATGGACATGTCTATATACTCTTGTGTTGATTTAACCACCAAATCGGTTTTCATAAGAATTATTTGCTAAGAGTAAGAGGCTCACCTGCGGGAGTACTTAGATACGACGAGGGCAAAGTCGCCAAGGACACCAGCGACAACAAGGATGTTTTCTGCGACTCTTGTGTAACACCACTCTCTGTATTCTCTTCCCTCCTCACACAACTCCTATTCAGTGTCGTCAAGTCCTCCTTGAGGATAGTGATGTTTTGCTTTGAATCATGCAAATCTTCAATGGTCTGACTGAGTTGAATTTTTATACTCTGAATTCCTGCACGTAACTTTTGCTGCATATGCTGTACGCCTTCCTTGTATGATTGTTCATCTTTGCTGTGCTCTTCAATCTCTTTTCTTATCATCCAACAACTTGAATTCAGCGTCATGAAGTCCTTCCTGAGACCAGTGTTCAGCATCCTTGCATCACGCAGATCTGATTGTGTCTGATTCAGCTGAATCTGTAAAGTATGGATATGTTTGGTCAACTGGAGTCGTAGTTTTCCAAGACTGTCTTTGTAAGTGTCCCTTTCCCGCTCAACGTCCCTGAACGGTTGAGCCTTTGTGTTCCGTACACTGGCTTTCTTGCTGTCGATTTCATCTGAAGCACGTCCACTGATACTATTCCCAGTATATTCCTCATTCAGGATGTCAGTGATCGCTTGTTTGACCAGACGCTTTATCAAGTTAGGAACGAATGTTTCAGTCACATGTTGTTTCAGAGAAGATTCCAACACCTTAAAGTTGTTTGCCATTTTAGTCTCCCTGTTAACAGCTGTAAGTTTCCATGAGTTGACCTCTCCGGCCAACTGTCGCACTTGTTGAGCCAAGTCTCTCAATCTGGCACGGGCATGGACGTCTCTGACACCACACAACAAAACAAGACTGAAGAATACAACTGTAACGATCGCCATTGTGTAAGGGTAATGTGTAGCTCGCAGCTAGGAAGTAGACTGCATCGACACTGGATAAACAGCATTGGCCCGACGCAAGTGTTTGGCAATATGTCAGCTCGGGGAAACAGATACTCACAGGCGTGTGTGTACATGTGGTAACAACAAACATGGCGATGGTGATAACTACATCAGATCATCTGTATTATACAAAGTGCCAGTGATGTCCTGGTGGTTGTTATCTGTGACTCTGGCCTGGGCAATACGGGGCGTAGTTTGGTCAATCATTCTACATCTACCACACATTTTGGACCCACGTTCACATCCGATCATGCTGTGCAACGTAAACATTCATAAAACATTCTGTTCATCACTGGAGTGCCTGGAATATTGCTGAGTGTGGCGTTGAACAACAAACAAGACGTTCACAAAACGTGAAAGGGCATGATTCTCTCAAGATTTCGGCAGAATCACTTCCATTGTAAGCCATGTGATATACCAAACTTTTTATTACATTTATATTTCCGTTCGAGCAATAGCAAATCTGTATCTGTTTATAAATATTTCATTTGCATCAATATAAAGCCCAACATTTTGTTCTTGCATTCAAACTGTTTATTCAAAGAATATTACTGGTTATATATACTGCGACTGGCACCTACATGTTGTGTTTCAACGTTAGCTCTAAATTTGGCTAACACTTGGACGTACCTGGTTTCCGTAGTTTCACAAGGGAGAGCTGACCACAGAACATATCAATGACATCTTCCTTCAGTATAACCGAATTATAGATATAACATCATGACTCTCCATGACCAACGCTGTGTACATATACCTCATTTGTGACCTGTACTGCCTGAATAAGACGCACTGCCGAAAATATTTCCTTGATTGCCTTATTCCAATACAACTGATTTAATAGTTACAAAAATCAAAATAGTTTAAAAGGAAAATTGAGTGTCATTATATTGGAAGCGCTTATATCCGCATTGGTAATGTCGCTGGACTCGGTAAGTCAATTTGATATAACATTGTGTCGAACAATTGACAGAAAATTGCTCTGAAACCGTGATCTCACAGGGAAGTCAACAGTTCCTTTTCTGTGGAGTTTACAGAATAACTACTGATGTACTTGAACCTTATAAGGAACACAGTATGATAATAGAGAATAAACATGTAACACCGGTACTCATGTCCTCTCAAAACAAGGGAGTACTTTTAGGGTTCAAGGAATTTATTCGCAAATCGAGTTCTACAAAGTGGTCGTGATCTGCCCTAGAACATACATAATTCAATTATTAACATTGTGGACAAAGGCAGTACATAGACACAAGATAGCAATATTACTTATAATACTTTCAAGATTTACAGTTGATTTCTATATATACTTTAACAAATCACTTTAGCTAAAACATATTACACTTTATATAGAGATCACAGGCAATTAAACATAAATATATTACCTCGTCTTAGGGACGCAGGCTGTAATAACTCCCAGGTGATATAAGCCCTGCACAAATAAATATACTATATATAAATATTGTATAATAGTTATGGTACAGTTACATTAGCATGTACAGATTACACACATTATAAATTTCCAAAATACTGTACATACATGCATGATGTATAGAATACTTCTAATCTTTATATAAATATACAAAATGACCATATATATATATCCTATGATGTACACTTGGCATACACCTCAGTCAAATACACAAGTAAGTTGAATTAAACTTACCTTACAATATAATACAATGCTAGCTAACATACTATATATATAACAATGTTTAAAATACATAGCAACCAAACCTAAGATTCCAAATAGAGTAATAATCACATGCAAAGAAAGTGCTCACAGCAAAAAGAAATATACTGACTAATCAGCAAATGTTTGAATCAGTGACTCCACATGACTGAAACGATGTCTTCGCAGGAAGGCGACTTTCTTGGGCGTGTCAAAACATGAGCCGTTTTTCGTTTTCGCCTTCGTGCGAAAAGGGTGGACATTTGCAACAATGGGTTCGGGTGTTTACACATGAAAGAGTGTTTCACCTTCGTGCGAATAGCTAAAACTGAAAAGTGGCCTTCCTGCGAATGAACCGACTGAAACGATCATGTGACCCCAGAGAACAATAAGACTAATCACAGTTCAAGCCTGTGACTGACCAAGTGACAATACCCATGAACCTATATACAATGAAAAGGCTGAACTATCCAAGCTTACCTTTGGGTTAGTAGATCTGTGCAAGTGCGGAAGTTAACACAAGCGTTTAAGGAAAATAAATGTTAAATATTTAGGTTTAGGTTATTCAATATACTTCATATAAGTTTACTAAGAGGATGCATTTAAAATCTAACAATATGCTATTTACAAACATACTGCTACAAACATATATCCTTATATTTTACTGACACTTCAGTTAATTCTTAACAGAATACAGAAATATTACACACTCGTACTGTAAAGGATCACATTCACTCAATAACGGAATATACATTTACGTCTTCAACTACCTGCACATATTACAGAAGCTCTTCATCAAATCATAAACAACACATTTATTACTCACTCATATTATAAAGGCTCGCCAGGCTCTGTCACGGAATACACATGTATGTAAGACGTATATTAAAGGCTTGACAACCAACCAATGACGTTATTTTTTTTTAAAAGTAGGGGAACTTCAGTTTTAATTAACTATTGAAAAAAATTGGAGATATATCGGAGTCAGTGAAGGTTGATATGACAATAATGATTGTTTTGAGAGATCATCAAGGCTTGCACTTCCTTTCGACCATATAGTTGTTTGTACAGTAATCGCTCTTGACAAAAAACAAAAAACAGCAAAAAAACAACACTCACACAAATTAAAAGAATGAAAAGAAAACGGCTGGAAACAAACACTATAAAATGTCTGATGAAGGATGATTGTCAAAATTAATGACATATATATTCACAACACTTATCACATGGACATATTATAAAGGCTCTAACTTCCGGATGCGCACGCACAGGGATAGGACGTGCTTGTTAAACGCTCCCGCTCGGCACGCGGAAAATCCATGTAATCGATGAAGATTAGATGATGTTAATTATGATTGCATAAATCTGTGTAACGCAAGAGACATTTAGGAAGCATGTTTAGAGATTCGACGAGGAATATTATGCGAGTAAACTTTGACAAACTTACATGTACCACCAAGGAGCGCGCCGACGAAACGGAAGAAAATCGTTCTGAAATCTGAACAGAGATTGTCTACACTTACCGATGTTGAAAAGACCTAGAACAATCCACAAATGACATTAAAACTGAATATAAAGAGGTTGTGGCAAGGGTCAACGAGATTGAGAATTCTGTCTCGATTCAGCAAGATGAAGTTAACGAACTGCGTCAACAAGTGTCCGTTTTGAAAGTAAAGTTGACTGAAGGCAGACCCGTTTGAAACAAAGTTAATTTATAAGATTAATTATTTATATAATTTCATGATAAAAAACCCAACCTTTGGATTTACGGTTTGAGTGAGTGAATGAGTGAGTTTAGTTTTACGCTGCTTTTAGCAATATTCCAGCATCACGGTGGGGGACACCAGAAATGGGCTTGACTCATTGTACCCATGTGGGTACTACAAACGAGGTGTGAATCGATGACATGCCTTTCTGGAATCCAAATTGCTGGTTGGACGGAAAGCTGTCTGATTCAGTTATGTGTGGAAGTCTTTTAGAGATGACGATTTCAAAAAGCTTAAATATTGGTGGTAGGAGAGTGACGCCCATGTAAGAGTCTGGATTCATTCTAGATTTGTCTCCCCCTTTGTAAATTGGTAGTATTATGCCATTCTTCCATGCCTTTGGGATAAAGCCGGTTTGCAAAACACGGTTGAACAGTACTGAGAGACATTTGGATAAGTATTTACCGCCATACTTTAAGTGGTCATACGTAATTCCATCTTCTCCAGCAGCCCTGTTGTTCTTTTGGGATCGGGACAACTGAGTTACCTCCTCTTGGGTGTTGAGAACAATGTCTGACACATTCTTTTCTGTCTTTATTTTCTGACGTATATCTAAGTCTTCTTTTACAATATTTAGCCTGAACGTGTCACTGAAGTGTGGTTCTGGTTTGTCCATGAAGACATTTTTAAAATGGTCTGCGAGGACGTTGCATATCTCTTTTGGATTGCGAGCGTGCTTGTCCTTGGACATCAAACATGTTATTTGGTGTTTTGTGCTACCTCGTCGCAGCAGGGACCAAAACAGCTTTTGGTCGACATCACCAAGTTTGTCCAGCTTGCTGAACTCCTCGGTCTCAAATTGCAGGGCCGCCATCTTGAGTGCAGTTATAAAAGCATCCTTGTTCCTCTTGTACTGACGGAACTCTTCATGATGCATTCCCCGAGGGCGTCCACTCTTGATCCACGTATCTCATGCCCTCATCATAGTACGATAAAGATCTTTGACCACGCCTTTCCAATATGGCTTTAAATGTTTTGAGAAGCGGGAATGTGGGATGAATTCGTCAGAGGATCTCTTTAAGCAGCTAACAATTCCAGTGTAGAACATTTTGACTTCTTCTGAATCGCACTCACTTGATGGAAGATGAATTGTCCAGAGAAGATTGGAAACACTGCAGGTGTAGTCAGTCAGTGTGCCATCACGTATTGCCTTATCCCAGGATGGTCTGGAGAAGCTGCACTCTGGAGGAACATCTCCATTGATGACGCTGAGTACTGAACATATGACTGGGTGGTGGTCAGATATGTTGTATGGGTTGTCTCCCTTCACTTGAACACTCTGGGACCAGAATATAGTCAAAACCGTCCTGCGTCCATCTCCATAAGCTTGAAAAGTAGATATTGGGCCCTTACAGTTGTTCTGCATGTTTACCGGGATCAGTCTGTACCTCTGGACGAATGCAGTGAGGTCAACTCCTCGATTGTCCAGCGTTCTGCTGTGCCTTGGTCCAGAGAGACCTGTGTTTAAATCCCCCAGGAAATAAACCCGTCCCGTGAGTGAGTAAGCGTCATATGTATCTTGTAACGCCTGAAGTGTATGAACACATCAAGTGATCTGTTTGAAGGAGGTAAGTAAACAGATATGAAGTATGTATAACTGTTGTTTTGGTTGT